TTGACCCAAAAAACATAAAATTTAGCAATTTCTTTCCAAACCATTTTGTAGAGCTTAAAAAAACAAATAATTTAGTATATTGAAGCGTTATTATGCGCCTAATGGTTACGGAGAAAATTGAAAAAAATTGTTAATTTAAAATTCCCATGTTATTCTTATGGAGAATAAGTAAACTGTTGTAGTTTGCTTGTTTATGAACATATTTTGATCAAATTTGGAAAATGTTTTTATTTCTTACTAACTATTAACATTTTACAAAAAAAACAGTTTTACCCTCCCTGATGCAGCAAACCTAAGTACTTGTTAAACTAATTCTATTTAAATCGGGAATAAATGTTATATTTGTATGTAGACATTGTGTAAATCAAATCAGTCAAATGGAAATTCGCTTAGTCTGCAGGTTTGCTGCGGCGGGGGTATTTATATGTTTTATACTCAAAATAATCAGTAAATTATAGGCTTTATTTAAGCTATTGATCGTTTGAATCAGTTAAGCGTAAGATACTGGATTACTCAATCAAAAATCATATATTTGATTATATCTCGGATATTATATTTATTTTAACGCTGCGGAGCAGCATGGGCCCTCTAGTCTAAATATTTGAAAGGCAAAGCCCTCACTAACTCACTCACTCATCACCAATTCTCCCACTTCCAATTTACCTAGGAGGCTGAAATTCGGTACACCGATTCTTTGGGCATTAAAAAGGAAAACTAAGTAGTTTTTATTCTGATCGGGATTTCGGGCTCCGCCCCAGTGGCTCTGGAGTTTCCCATGTTAACCTTATGATTTTTCATATTTAAAAGGAATTAATGAATCTTAACAGCTGTTTCAATAAAACAAGTTGGTTCTATTCTATAATGTTCAAAAGTATTAAAGTTACAAGGATTACCAACAGGGTGCAGCACTATTATTTTTTTTTTTAATTTATGACAACAGCTAATTTGCAACCAAAAGGTGAGTGAGTGTAGCCAGGACGTGATTGAGCCATGTGAATACTTTTGAAGTTAAACGGGGCAAAGCCCGCGGGTACAGCTAGTACTAGTGTAAAAATAAGCAAAACATGCGCAATCCCTACTAAACTCACTAACACCACCAACTTCCACCCAAGCTGGACACTGTTTATCTAATGTGCCTCCCACCGGCTAATTCATGTGTACTGTTTAATAGTGGTGTGCGAAACTGCAAAACATTTTTGAATCGATGCAACTCGATTTGAAGCAATACAGCTTTTTTATGTTAAGCATGTTACCTATTTTATAATATTGTAGTGATGGTCGGATCCGGATATCGGACTACCGGATCCGCCGGATCCAAGCTAGAACCAGCACCCGATCGGATCCAAAAAATTCCGGATCTTGGGCTGGATCCGGTTTTGATGGATCAGATTTTTTCCGATTTTTACCGATTTTTTTACCAACACAACATGCCATAGTTTTATTTAGTAACAAAAGTGTTTGACTATGTTCCCAATGATACCAAGAGTATAGGTTCGGCAGAGTGCTGGATTCACTGTGAACCGGCCTGCCTGGCCCTTATGCACAACGTCACTATAACCTCCGTGTAGGGGTGTCGAACTCCCCTAGGTACTAAAAGCAATATTACCCAAGAGACAAACACTGAGACATGGCCTTGCCATATAAGTTAGCCATGAGTTTTAAGTTTCCAAATATCTCTTCTCAAAATAATACCCCTTGCTTATCTCTTCCTTAAATTCGTTCCAGATCCACAGTACTGATAGCCGGGTATGTGAAATTCTACAGGTAAAATACCCTGTGTCTGTGTACAGGGTGAATAAAATGTCAAGACTCCCCCATCTAATATTTTTCTAAGTTAGAACACAGTATAGTCTTCTTGTACACAGATACAGGGTATTTTACTTACGAGTAGAACTTCACATACCCAGCTATCAGTAATGTGGACCTGGAACGAATTTAAGGATGAGATAAACAAGAGGTGATTCAGGCATAAATATATTGGATGCTGCATGCAAAAACCACGATATAGCATACTCAAGATCGAACTATAGTAAAATATACACAGAAACCAAAAGGGGGGTGGTCGTGCAAAGTCAGTGGCGGATTTACCTACGGCGCCGCCCCTAGGCCCGTTCGGCCGGCCGCCCCTTTGTGTTCCGCGATTGAGGAAAGGTTTCAGCGTAAAAGCAATATTAAACTTCCCGTTGTTGGCATGCTTATTAATGCATTTTCCAGGAAAAACATAGTCACTATATGAGTAGGGCCTACTTTATATTAAAGTTGTATTAATAGGTTTTAAGAAAAACATATATTTTGTTGTTGAGACAAGAATAAATATGAATATGAATAGCCTAAATTAATCGCCGAACGCATTGCCGTTCTTGACTAAATTCAATTCAAATGTATTCAGCTTAAATAGGTTTTGTTTTGGGTTTTCTTATAGTTTCTATGAAATTATTAATACACATATATATATTTGAATTTAGGTGTTCACGTAATAGGGCTGCTGATAATATATTAAATTACGGTAGTAAAAGTACAACAGAGAACCCCAAAAATTATATTTCTAGTAGATATATATATTCTAGTTAATTATAAAAACCTATTGTACTTTAAAAATTATGGGTTCTGGAAAATAGTATGAATATTGGTCTAGCCATAGACCATAACCAACATAATGGAATATATTTATCTACGATTTAACACATGCATTATAATCAATGGAAAAAGTAGGTTTTCCACTCCTGAACCCTACCCTTTGTTAAATCTGAATAAGTGGTTCATCTTGGTTAATTTTGTGGGTGTGCTGAGGTTGACGTCGAAATTCTTTAAAAAAAATCACAAACTATTTATTTTTATATTTTAGGGTGTATTCATTTAGGCAAGCTCCTAATCACGGCTACCTTATAGGTGGCCGTGTCTTAATACTATACAAATAAGAACAACCCCCAGTGTTTATACGGTACCTAAAAAAATACATACTAAATTATATAATACTTATAACCTTCATCAATAATAATATATTTGTTATTAACTTTGAAAATTAACAAATTATAAATCATTGAGATTGGGACACCACCTAGGTACGTATTTTTACCCAAATGTGAGTGAAAGATGAGTGTGGAGTGTGGTGTGAGATTATCTGTGTAACTTTGTTACTGACTATGATAGGCTATTTCATCAGCCAGGATAATTGATTTAAAGCCCAATCATCATGAACAGCTGAGTAATAAATCATAATTTGTTAGGTTTTAATAATTTCACTACGTAGGCCTAATTGAAAGAAAATTTGAACTGAAGGCAACCAACAAACGACAAGTTTCTGTACAGGTGACACAGCTAAAAAGGCGTGGTAGTTTGTTGATAACACATATCGACCCCAGTCATATCCTCATAACAATTTGTAACAATAAATTCGAATTCACATTCATTCACTTCGTAACTTAGAGCACATAGCTCAGCTGAGCTGACCGACAGCAACAGCTGGAGCTGAGCATTTTCCTTCACTTCACCTCAGTTCGGCAGTTAGTTCTCACCCTCATTTCATCGTCTTCTTCTTCATCTATTTGTTCTTAGATCTTGATTGTTTGATTGATTGACTTTTTTAAGTTGCAGACGCTGTTCTTTCAATGCTTAGATTAAGAGGGATTTTCAATATATTTTTAAAGAGACCCAGGCACTGAGAATACTCGATTATCAAAAAAATCCTAGTTGTTTTACCTGAAAATTCTCTAAATTACTCACAAAATCTGAATCCTTGCATAAATCTTCGCAGCTGGAAATCCTAAAAAATCGAGGATTTTCCCCGCAATTGGCAACACTGTCGCTACTGTTACTCGCAGTATATATTATGCCTGCATCTGCACGTCGGGACATGAACGTGAGTCATCTTCACCGATCGATAATCACCTGGCGCCCGCCGCCACGCACACGCCGCCCGTCACGTTACCCGCTGCCTGCCGCGACCAGGCGCCCTTCAACGGCGGGCGCCCAGGCACGTGCCTAGTGTGCCTTATGGTAAATCCGCCACTGTGCAAAGTTAGCACAAACTTTCATTTGATGATTTTGAAAAGTTTTAGTGTCCCCAAAAAATGAGGGATTATGGGCTCAACTGGAGATTACTCTATATATGAGATATATTAACCTTTAAACATTACCAATTTAATTTTAAACAGTATTATTTAAATTGGCATTCTGTTAATTAAGTTTTTTTAACCCGCCCTTATGACAGTGTGTATCTGGATCCGGATCCAAATTTTTCAAGATCCGGATCCGGTACCGACATTTTTTTGGATCTGCCCATCACTATAATATTGATTTTACAAATAAAGATATGTTTTGGTGTAAACAAATAAAAACATTTGCAAGATTTATAGGCTACTGAAACTTTCAATAATTGGTTTACATTGAAAAAAATTAAATGATAGAATCAAACCTACAAACTACAAGGTATACATAGCAGACCTACAAAAATACCAAATTTACCAGTCTAAAACATCAATCTTACTACTAGTAGTTAAGTATCAAGTAACAATTTTTTGTGTGTGTTATTTTTAGAATGATTTTGGAGTGACTTGTTTTGGCTATGTTTACAGTAGTAAAACATATCTCACACTGCTTACACTTAACAAAACTTCTCATCATTTGCAATGTCAAAACAAAAAATTATAAAACAATTAAAGCAATATTTACATGCAAAGAATTAATTAAATAAGAACGCCTTCGCAAAGGAAACGCAACAACAACGCGCTCCTATATTGCGGGTATTGCATTGACTTCTTGCAGGCGTTTTTCGTATATGGATACTGGCTCCCTCATGAATCAAATCGTTTTTTGGTCACCACTAATTGAATCGCGATTCAATGAATCAAATCGGAAACACACCCCTACTGTTTAATGTAATTTAGGTTAGCATTTCTATTTTGTTGATACAGTAAAAATCCAATTCCTTTCAAAGCTAGGTGGTGGTAAAAAACATTGGTTTACAAAATAAGTTTATGATTTTTACTGGTTTATTTTAGAAATGTGAACGAGAATTCAAAGAATACATCAAGGATAAAATGGTTGCTGCAAAAGCAGATATTAGAGAACTTCTACAGGTAAGTTTGTAGATCTCACATAGTTAAGGAATATTTACCTACTACTAAACCTTATTAGTACACTAACAACACTTGGGGTTATATTTAGTATTCACTCTCAATTTTGTAAATTATTATTGAAACTTGAAAAAATAAATTTGACAAACCAACATATGGAATTTCAGAGCTTAGCCCTTCTGACATTTTATAAAATATTATACAGACATTAAAGATATATTTAACTGTCAATTTTATTTAAACTATAAATATCAAATCATCTACCATTATAAAACATTAACATTATTACAATTCTGATCAAACAAAACTTATACAGGGTACTGTAGTGAGTTGGTGGCTCATTTGGTAGCGTCGCGGACTACGGGCCCAAGGCAGCGATGTCGTGGGATCGGATCCTGGTCACTGCCGATAACATTTTATCAGTACAGTTCACCTTTGTACTGTACCGGCTCATTCCTTGCTTTGCTGTAAACGATCCACGCACGGGCGCTTAGTCTATGGACGGGCAAGAGGCCGCCAACTTTAAAAAAAAAAAAGGGTGGAACGAAGTTATAGTCCGTCTGTTTGGCTATGATACCCAGCGGATTAGGAACCTTCACGGAACTTAACTCACCCTTCAGACCCGCTTGTCAGGCTGGCCGTTGATAAAAAGATTACCTACCTACTGTCCACAGTCCAACAGATCTGTAACTTTTTTTTATTTTAAGTTAAAATAAATTGTTCTTTGTATATTTGAGTTCTACATGAAATTCCAAAAATAATGAGTCCAAACACGATGTGGATACTTAATATCTACGATCTGAAAGTTTGACAAAGCTGGTGACGATACAGAGTAATTGTAATACTTTCACATCATAGGTATTAAGTATCCACATCCTGTTTAGGCTCATTATTTCTGGAATTTCATGTAGAACTCAAATTTATAAAAAAAATTTTATTTTAACTTGAAACAAAAAAAGTTACAGATCTGTGGGACTGTGACAGTGGGTGAGTCACTGTTTGTCTCCGGCCAGCCCGACGAACAGGTCAAAAGGGTGAGTTGAGTTCCGAGAAGGTCCCTAATCCGCTGGGTATCATAGCCAAACGGACGGACTATGTTAAAAAATTGTTTGTGTTAAACTGCTTAGTATTGGTGACAAAATGGCACTAATTTAGATTTCCATACCCTCACATGTAGGGAATAACAGTCAAATTAAGATTTTTTTCAAACAGATTAATGATTTGTGAACTTAAATATTTTCTATGTTTTGTGTTGAAAATAAAAAGTGTTGCCAGACTTAAACATTGCCCCAAATAAAAAAAAATAGTTATGGGATAGTATTTCTCTATCAAAATGACGTTTTAAGGTGTGAGTGAGATCTCCTTAACTAAATGGTAAATAGCACGAAAATTTCTGTGGGTAAAACCAATTTAATATTGTGCATGTAGCAAATATCACCTCTATCAGCTACTGGTCTACTTGTGGTGGTTTGTCTATCTTATCTTATCTTTTCTAACAGGGGCAGGTCGAGACCTTAAAGCACTTCATCAAATTACAGTACTTCAAATTACCAAGAGTTATCATTCTAGTATCAGAGAGCTCGTTACAATCAAAGAGCAGGTGATCGGCTGTCTCTTCTGACCTAACACAGTGCCTACAGATCGGTTCATCATCAAATAAGACCATCTGTTGTAAATGTTTCCTGAATCGCCCGAGACTAGTGATCAGTTCTACAATTAGTTGATCTGTCTAGTCTCAAGAGGTCAGAGGCAACCTTTTTGGAAGGCCTAAACAGAGTAAGCTTGCTGACCCTAAGAAGGGGAGTGTCGACCCAGCGTTTGCGGTGCTTTTCTTTGGCCCATGACGCAATCAAAGAACATGCGCTTTTTCGTGAAATGCCACAGAAGAGTTGTGGGCCTATCATAGTTGTCGCAAAGGCAGTGTTTGCCAATCCGTCTGCAGCTTCATTTTCTTTTAAGCCTGAGTGTCCAGGCACCCAGCAGAACGTAAGACCATTTCTCCTACCCAACTCAGACACAGAAGCAAGGCAGTCCCACACAAGCCGACAGTTGAATTCGTAAGAGTTTAGTTTAATAAGGTGCTTGTAAGGTTGCTTGACTATCAGTATAGATATCGATTGTTTTGTCTCTGATCTCTTTATTAAGATGTTCTCAAGCACAAACCAAGATGGCAGTGACCTCCGCTTGAAAAACAGTTGGGTACACCCCCATGGGAAGACAAATGCCAGTGCCTTAATTTATCCAATGCACACCTGCTCCAGTGCCCCCATTTTTTAAATCTTAGAACCATCAGTGTAGCATTCTAAATCACCTGTGGGGATGGGCCCTTTTCCGCCAGACCAATCCTTCCTATCTGGTATTAGTACTGAAAGGCTTTCCAAAGGAGTATTTTTTGGACATGTGATCTGAAGGCAGGTCCAACTCATCACTTTGTACCACCTGAACAATTTTGGAGTGCCCTTTATTGTTTCCTGTGGTTATCCATAAGTTTTCGCATCCGAGGCGTAGGGCTGTTTTTCTTGCTACCACCTTGATGAAAATGTCGATGGGTAGCATATCAAGCAGAAAATCTAGAGCTGCTCCAGGACAGCTACTTACTGCCCAGTCATCATTATAAGAGCAAGGCTCTGAACTCCTGCTAAAGCTTTGACAGCTGCAGTAGATTCCATCTTTGGCCACCACACAAGCAAACCATATGTAAGGGCGGGTCAGACAACAGATACATAAAGCCAGTGCAAGAGTCTGGGCTGTAACCTCCATGTTCCACCTACCATCCGCCTGCATGCCCAGGGACCACTTACCGCGTTCAATAACTTTTTGAAGATGTGGTCCCCAGTGAAGAAATCTGTCCAAAATTACATCTAGGTACTTCACCTGATTCTGCAGCTCTATTTCAGTGCCCTGTAGTATTAGTGGGCCAATCCCTTCCAGTTTCCTCCTTCTTGTGAAAGGTACCATTACGACTTTCCTGGGATTAATGGAGAGCCCAACTTCCAGACACCAACGGTCTACCACCCTTGAAGCTCTGTTCATAAGGTCAGTTATGGTTCCGTGGAACTTTCCAACCACAAGGATTGCAACATCATCAGCGTAACCTAAGGCGAAAACCCCGCTTTCATCAAGGGTCCTTATAAGTTTGTCTGCTACCAAATTCCAAAGGAGGGGAGAAAGAACCCCACCCTGGGGGCAACCTCGAGTAGTTATTGCCTCGATCGTGTCATTATGGAGTGAGAGCCTGACCTTCCTACTGTGAAGCAAGGATTCAATCCACTTTCAAACGATCTCGTGAAGCCAGTGTTATCAAAAGCACCCTGAATATCAAGAAACGCACCCAGGGCCACTTCGCTACTCTCTAGAGCTTTCTCAATCTTACTTACGAGTTGGTGCAGCGCGGTCTCGCATGATCTTCCTGTGACATACGCATGCTGATTGTTATGAATAGGATTTGTCCTGAGAGCTGTATCCATCATGTATCTAAGACCAATTTTTCTAGGATCTTAAGGAAGAAAGAAGATAGAGAAATGGGTCTAAATGACTTAGGATCAGTGTAACTATCCCTCCCTGGTTTTGGAATAAATGCAATGCGAGAATTACACCACCCTGAGGGAATGTGTCCTAAGGCTAAGCTTGCTCTGAAAAGTAAGCAGAGTGGGTGAATAATAATGTCTTGACCTTCCTGTAAGCAAACAGGTCTTACCTCGTCAGGACCCGGCGATTTTAAGGGTCGTAATAGACTAATAGCCCATCTTACCTTGCTGAAGGTGACTATGCGACAAGCAGTGCTCCACAGTGGTTTGTAAATTATATATGATATTGGTGATATATTTCAAGTGAAAACTTGAGACATGATTCTCATTGAGGATATTATGAAAGGATTTTCATGCTGTATTTGTGCTATTGCCATTGATCTTTACAAAAATGTTGACTATACAATATTTTCAGGAGACAAAGCTGATTACCCATAAAACGCTGTCCCTTGTGAAAGAGAACGATTCGTCATTAAAGGAAATAGAAGAGATCCTGAAGAAAGACAAGAGATATCTGGAGCTAGATCACATTCCTGAGGAGAGACATGAACTGGTGATGGCTTACTTGGAGGATCTGGAGAAACGTGGACCTCCACCTCCACCCACAGCATCAGAGCCCTCACGCCGCACCACCAAGTAGAGTGAGTGTTACAACTAGGGATGGACGGGATTGAATTTTTAGTTCGGGACGGGACGGGATTTTTATTTCCTTCCCGATTTTCGGGACGGGACGAGACGGGATTTTTTTCTGTGCATAAAAAGATAGGCTAGTCTTGAGTATTGCAGTTACCAAAAAAGGCATACGAAATCAATCTTTACTGTTTGTGGCACTGATCTATAAAAACCAAAAAATGGGTAACAATTTTTCAGGTACCTATAGAAACTTGTGACTTGCGGTCGAAAGGACTCGCGGTCACGGTGCGATCGTCAAAATGACGGCAGTAACGGGGTGATCGTCGGTATGACTCGCGGTCACAGCGCGATCGTCGGTATGACTCCGTGGTCACGGCGTGATTGTCGGTATGACTCCGCGGTCACGGCGTGATCGTCGGTATGACTCCGCGGTCATGGCGTGATCGTCGGTATGACTCCGTGGTCACGGCGTGATTGTCGGTATGACTCCGCGGTCACGGCGTGATCGTCGGTATGACTCCGCGGTCACGGAGTGATCGTCGGTATGACTCCGCGGTCACGGCGTGATCGTCGGTATGACTCCGCGGTCACGGCGCGATCGTCGGTATGACTCCGCGGTCACGGCGCGATCGTCGGTATGACTCCGCAGTCACGGCGTTATCGTCGGTATGACTCCGTGATCACGGCGTGATCGTCGGTATGACTCCGAGGTCACAGTGCGATCGCCGGTATGGCTCCGCGGTCACGGCGTGATCGTCGGTATGACTCCGCGGTCACGGCGCGATCGTCGTTATGACTGCGTGGTCACGGCGCAATCGTCGAAACGACTTCGTCTCCTGCGTTCGCGGACCTATCGCTCGCAATAGCGGCGTCATCGGCACTCGCGAAGCGGCAAAATCGCCGGCGATCGGACCAAATCCCGTCCCGAAAAATTCCCGAATCAAATGTTATCCCGTCCAGATAATCGGGAATATTTTTTTCCCGAAAAATTTCCGAAATTTCAGGACCCGTCCATCCCTACTTACAACTACTGTTGTCTAGGAGCTAAAAGTGTAATAAACTTTTAAGTAAGTTTTACTCTAAAAGTACTATTTTTGGGTAATGGAATGTGTAACAATTCAGTATGTTTCCGTGACCGCGGGAGAGGATGGTGATGTTTACACGGCCGCGGGAAATGTTTATGGTTTTGTCGCAATCGTGGACGATGATGTTGAGGTTTCCGTGACCGTGGGAGACGATGATGATGTCTACACGGTCGCGGGAAATGTTCATAATTTAGCCGAGATCGCAGACGATTGACGATGGTGTTTCCGTGACCGCGGGAGATGACAATGATGTCTTCAAGGCAGTGGGAAATGTACTTGATGTTGCCGCGATCGCAGACGACGAAGATGACGTTTCCGTGACCGCGGGAGACGAAGATGATGTCTAAAGGGCCGCAGGAAATGTTCATGGTTTTGTTGCAATTGCGGACAACAACGATGACGTTTCCGTGACCGCGGGAGACGATGATGATGTCTACACGGCCGCAGGAAATGTTCATGGTTTTGTCGCAATTGCGGACGATGACGTTTCTGTGACCGCTGGAGACGACGATGATGTCTACACAGCCCTGGGAAAAGATCATGATTTTGCCACGACCGCGGATGACGACGATGACGTTTCCGTGACTGTGGGAGACGACGACGATGTCTGCACGGCCGCGGGAAATGTTCATGATTTGCCGCGATCACGGATGACGACGATGACGTTTCCGTGACCGCGGGAGATGACGATGATGTCTGCACGGCCACGGGAAATGTTCATGATTTTGCTGCGATCACGGATGACGACGATGACGTTTCCGTGACCATGGGAGGCGATGATGATGTCTACACGGCCGCAGAAAATGTTCATGGTTATGTTGCAATCGCGGACGATGACGTTTCCATGACCGCGGGAGACGACGATGTCTTCAAGGCCGCGGGAATACGATCATGACTTGAGCCAATGTTAATGTCTACACGGCCGTGGGAAAAGATCATAAGATCATGATTTTGCCACAATCACGGACGACGACGATGACGTTTCCGTGACTTCGGGAGACAATGATGTCTACACAGCCACGGGAATTTTTCATGATTTAGCCGCGATCGCAGACGATGAGGATGACATTTCCGAGACCACGGGAGACGACGGTGATGTCTACACGGCCACAGGAAACGTTCATGATTGGACCACGTCTGGTTAGACTTTGCCATAAATGATTTATTAAGTCATATGTTTCTAATTATTAAAATGTGTTTGCGTTTACTTTAAAAATGTAAATAAAATATGAGTTGTGAGTGAGTAAAAACAATGTAAAACAGTCCTGAGTAAAATCAATGTTTCTTTAACATCGATGACTTTTCCGTAACCGCGGCTGTCAATGATGATTTTATGATTAAAAAACCCCTAATTGGCTAGTTTAATTTAAAAAAATGTATTTATATTTAATTTCTATTCTATTGATTTGAAAATTGAAATTTTAAATAATTTAGAAAATTTGATTTCACAATTTGTCCCCATAAATTATATTTAGTCAAAGTGATTAAAATTTATGAAAGAAGATTCACAGGTCATTCATATAATATACCTTTTATAAACATCAATATTTTGTACAGTACTTTAATTCAATATTTTGACCTGTGTAGAAGCGTTGACTATTGGATACAGAAGTTGTATTAATAGTCAAAGGTAGAAGTCATTTAAATTGGGTAAGATAACTCCTTTAAAACCTTACCTGGAAGCCATTAGAACATTTTTAGGCCACAACTTTTTGAACTGTTATACTAAATTTTAACCTCAAGAAACTATTTCAGTCTTGAGAAGAATTTTAAGTAATATATAATTACTAGGGGTCTGCGGTGCACCGAAAAAGTTGGTACACCGAAAAAGTCGGTACACCGAAATAGTCAGTATGGTACAAGCTTAATATAATCGTCATCAGTTTGGTACAGCATTTTACGCATCCTATTATAATTATAAACTACTTTCAGTTTACTATCAGCAGTTGGTTCCGAGCTCATAAAAGGCTTATCAGATGTTTGTTTACGATCTTCATAATTTATTACTAGGAATACTAGGGTAGTGATGCAATAAAAAAACCATTTGCAGTCCAAAATTATTTTACAATACTAAAATGACTTTTTTCTAGGGATGGACGAGATTAGATTTTTAGTTCGAGACGAGACGAGACGAGATTTTTTATTTCTCATAAAATTTCGAGACGAGATCGAGACGAGATTTCTCTTCTCATACACAACGGGAAATGCACGTTCGAAATTTTTACCTGATTTTGTAACATTGTTAGATGACTGTTTAAATACTAAAATAATGATAATAGGCAAGAATATTTACAATCTTTCATTAAATAACATCAGCATAACATTTTTTTATTAATCACGCCTAACTTATTAAAAATGCCTACGATTAGGAAACATGGTGATATCAGTTAGGATAGAGTTCAACTTATCCTAAAATAAAATAAATCATAAAATAAAAGCAATATTAATTTTTATAAAATAGTTACTTGTTTTGACTTTTTTTATAGTAATAAAACATTCCTCACACTGCTTGCACTTAACAAAACTTCTCAAATGTTATTAAAGTAATATTATTAAAATAATGAAAGTAATATTTACATTAAAAGAATAAAAGTAATATTTACATTAAAAGAATTAATTAAATAAGAACGCCTTCGAAAAGGAAACGCAACTACAACACGCTCCTGTATTGCGGGTATTGCATTGACTTTCTGCAGGCGTTTTTAATTTTTTTTTTTTTTTTTTTTTTTTTTTTTATTCTCGTCTCGATAAAAATCTCGGCCAAAAAGTAATCTTGTCTCGTGTAACGAGATTGAAAATTTCCCGAAATTTCGAGACTTGACCATCCCTACTTTTTTCTAATAAAATATTTACAAGACACCAACTACCATGAATTAGTTTCTTAGAAAATAATCTGTTAGTAACAGTTTATGTTTTTTAATAAAGAAATATATCTTTTTGTCAGCTACTTCCTTGTTTCGTTACACAATTTTGTTAGCAATTGGAGCAACCGGGTGGTGGAAGAGGTGAGGGGGAGGGTCCATGACCTTGAGTGCCCCCTGCCTGGCTGGTGAGAGGGATTTATGGTTTGTTTACATCCCACTGCCCTTCCAATAAAAAGATCCTGCAGTTTCAAAACATTGACTTACAGTTTAAAAACATTGACTTGTGTTGCTAATTATGGCACTAGCGTCTCTGCATTATGTTGCCAAGTTGGCATTTAATTTTCTTTTCTCTTGATTGAATATAATCTTCTAAATATTAATTAGTTAAGAGTTCCTTTTAGGGTACCTAATTAATTGTGATATAAACAATATCGTGACTTGAGGTTATGGATTTTTAGTTTATTAGTTATCAAAATTAGTTGTTTTAGGCTAGGGGCACACGAGCAATTATTTTTAGGCGGTTATTTCATCGGCCGATTTGTGCATCATGTAGGAAGCGTGCACACAGGTGATCGAGAATTGCGCCCATTTTAAAATCTGGGTTTTGCTGCAGATTCATAGGCGAGGCGATTGTCGCCTGGAAATCTGGAACGTACAGGTTGTTATCAGTCCGCGCACACGGTCGACTAAAAAATCAACCATTTTATCGTATTTTAATAATTGCAACGAAAGTGGAAATGTCTTATAAAACTTCCATCTACAAATGAAGGAGTAAAATATAAAAAATCTTGGTTTAAAAAAAAAAATTTTTTGCAATTTTAAATATTCATATTATTGTTTTAGCCTACCTGACGAACCATAAGTCTAGATAGCTACGACAAAATTTTAAGTTTTCTTTTCTTGTTTGAAGGCCTACTGACTGAATTATTTATTTCTTTTGAATAATTATTTAGCAATACGCCATTGTGGAAACAATCTCAGAAGCTAGGCCTTCATATGGCTTTCCACATTCATTATAATGTGCAAAATGACGCAGTCGCTAATTATTTGCGTAAATTTATTACTGTTATTTATTTATTAATTATGTGCTAATATACGGCCTTAATTGTTGCAAAATGATGTAAAGTCCCCGATATTTCGTTTTCTTTTGCTGGTTGAATTTCTTCATCCTGTTGTCTTCCTTTTGTCTCCTTTCATCGGGAGTCTTTCTCCTCTTTGTCTTTTTTCGTGTATCAAGATACGAAGGTAAATTGGGAAAAAGTCTAGGTACGGCATTCTCACCTAAAACTGGGTTCTCGCGTCTATATTCGCACCAATCAATTCTTGTCTTAATGTCTTAATTCTTGTAATTTCCACAAAACTAAGGTCATCTTCGTGAAAATATTTCAAGCAGACACGAGTATTGTTTTTGAAGGTGTCCAATCTGACTGAGGAATAGCACTAAGTCAACTGTTGCTTACGCGCCGGATCACTTGGAATCTTAAAACACTGCATGTATCCTTTAGTTTTATTAGTTTTAATCAAGCTTTCGTAATTACTCTTGCACCCAGGCACGACAAATTTATCTGTTATGATGCAGTAGCAATTTCAATGTCATTACTAATGATTAAGGGTAATAGAAACGTGAATAAGTACGTCGGTACGCGACTCCTCCATTCACTGTAATGGTAAGACGACCGTGCGCCAAGACACAGATGCGACGTTGCCACTTTTCGCTCACCGCGGCCTTGTATTAGAGGTGGCTGTGGTTGTTTTCTTTGCTAAAAAAGGCCACAGCTGTTATAATAAAAACTGAAACTTTCAACAGACATTCTATAGTAATTAAAGAACATTTTACTGTCATCACGTAAAGTGTATAGTTTATAAAACTGTCGATTTAAAAGTCTCTGACTTACTATCGGATCGGATAAACCCGATATTTAAGTTGTCTTCTTTTTTTCTTTGATCTAATTAGAAGAGCACAAACACAGGTTAATTCAACAAAGTCCATTTTAGGATAGCTTAAACGCACTCAAAACATCCATTTCTTGACTAAACATTCGCCACGTGTGCTCCTAGACATAAACAAGGGGGGTTTATTTTTGGCCGATTTTTTAATTGACCGTGTGCGCTGTAACGGGTATTCCAAGTTGAGACTAAAATAAAAATTTAGTTAAAAACGATACAAGCTTTCAGCTGTCAAAGCATTTTATCTAAAAGATTGATATTGAACAGAGCCTTCGTAATGAATTGTCAGGGAGGTCAAAATCTGTTTAAATCATATGTTAGACTAAATTAAAATAGGTCTATTGTGGAAAAATGACGTATCGAATAACTTGAATATCTAAAAAACTACTTGTCTTATCGAGTTCAAAGTGTTACCAAATAAAATCATATGAAATTCCCTAACTTGTGTTAAAAAATCAAAATGATCGGACAAATTAAGAAAATTAAGTAAAAAATTTAAATTTAAAATATTAATTTACAATGTCTAAGTTAAACCGCTATGACGTTGCGCGGAGCAAAATTGACTAAGAAAATAGTCCGTGACTAAAATGCAATTAACTCGAAAATTGAAAGTCTAATCAAAAAATTTAAATCAGATGAAAGTGATTAAATCTGTTTCTGAAGACGATATATACATTTCATAAAGAATAAATTAAACTATATAAAATGTAGGAATGGTTTTTAATTTGGCGGTTATGGCGCGAAAAAAGATTGATGAATGGGGAAATAGTTAAAATTATAAAAGCAAATATCTCGAGAATTGCAGGTCCGATAAAAGCCAAATTAAAATAGAATGACTTTTAGATTTTTGTCTAGCTATGCTGCAAAATTTGTAACAACTTAAAAAAAATTGAAGCAATATGCGTTCTTGAATAGAGGACAGTGACCGGTAACGGTAGACTCGTCCACTTCTGGAGAAACCTTTCATGAGTGATGTTCTGAGTTGATCTCTTAATTAAAGTAAATCTCTAGCATCGTGTAATGTAGGCTCTAAGATGAAAGAAAATCAAGGAAATATAATGAGCATAAATTAGCCTACGAAAATGTAATAGTGAAAAGTAAAATAAATCAGTGATTCAAAATGATGTTGTAGCCTATTAGGCTAAATTTGTAACTTAGACTCATGCCATAAAGACGCCGTAGATCTTCAACACCACAAAAACTGATAAGTAGCCAAACCTAGTGATTAAACATGTTCAATATAACGAATTCTAGAGTCATCATATATAAACATTTTCTATTATTAAAAACTTTTACAAGGGCTCAGCTCAGTCATAGATGGGTACAGAAAATCAATAATTTAAAACAGTAAAAGTATAATGTAAAATTTAAAATAGGCCTAAGTTAAGAAGGCTTAACCTTACAAAAAAAAAAGGCGAAGGTTACAGCGCCAGACCCTAGATTTCTATCTTTTGCTGTAGTTCTATCTATGCTACTGTATGACGTGATATATAGTTTTTACAGCTTTTACTAATCATACCATAAACAAACCATGTGTATGGTAAATAAACCATGTGTCAATTACTATTTTAGAGTTTTATAGTTAATCAGTTTACACAACATCTTATCTTCAATGAGTTCTCGACTTGTCATTTTGTTTAGCCTACTAATGCTATTGCAAGTGTGAGGTTTTGTACTTAGGTAGTTAGGAGGCAGGGAATATTGCATTGTTGAAACATAGGATTTTTATTTTCTTCTTTCTTGCAGTTAAGGCAATTCCCAAGCTCTAAATAAGATATGAAAATGAAATAATATACATAAATACAACTTTTTCCATATTTTATTATCAAGAAATATTATAAACTTAGATAGAAGTTCAAACAACAACAAAAATCCAATAAATAAAACAATTTTGGCTTGACCCAACCCGAACCAAAAAAAGTCTGACCCGCAGACCCCAATTATCAAGGCAAGTACTCAATAGGTGAAGCCTTTATCTTTACTTTGTTGATTTCTTTCTTGACACAATCCCGTAAGAAGGAAAAGGTTTTAATAATGTGTGGGACAGTAATTAATTGTTGTTAGAAAACCATGAATGTAGGATACTATCCATTTTTGTAGTAATGTCAATGTATTACAATTTAAAATAATGGTTTCAATCTGAGGAGAAACCCGCAAAATTACTGGTAGCCGTGTACCGTATCGACCTTAAATTTTCTGTACCGAAGACCCCTAATAATTACCCAAATTTGAACTGTTAATCCCTATGTGAAGGTAGCCTATCCAAAGATCAATTATTACATCAACCAAAACATTGAACAACAGTCAACTTTATCTCAAGTTTTAGTCATAACCTGCTACTGAGTCTTTATTACAATTTATTATAACTTTTTAGATATTTCATTCTCCAGGACTATTGATTTATGTTTAATAACCAAACAACCAAACCACAAGATTAAATTCTGACGCTGCCCGATCACCCCAACCTGAGATTCAGAGAACATGTAACAAACCCCTGAGCCTAAATTGAGAACATTGTATTAGCATATAAGCTTTAAGTAACTTCAAGTAAATTCAACTCCCCATGTTGTAAACCCGATTGTAAGTAATTTTTTTATTTTTTATTATCGATTTGTATTTTCATAGAATAAAATTAGATTTTAGTATTGTAAATTTGGAGTTTCCATTTTAGGCCTAAGTTAAGATTTATTACTGGTGTTTATCAAGTAAATAAAAAAATAATGCAAATGAAAAATTCTAACTAGCCAATTCAAATGTAAGTATTTCTAAACAAATTAAATAACTACCATATCAAAGGTAAATGCATCACAATAACCGTAAAAGCTCTACTTGAGCTCAATTTTCTGACTTGGTGCTCGATTTCTCCAGCTTGTAGGCTAGGCTTGAATTAGCTCAAAAGTCGAGCCGCTCAAACACATCTAATTTATTTTTATTGACTACTTGAAAAAATCTCATGTCCATCATTTGCCAATCTTGGGTAACATTAAAATGTTTATACATTCGAACATAACGTGTAATCATGACTTTTGTTTCAGATAAACTTTCAATGAACTCATGAAGCCTGATGACCAGCCACTCAAGAATGTTTTGTTAAAATAACATATATTTAAATTTATATAACTAATATTTGTATAAGCATGATGAAATACAAATATTTTATATCTTTTAAGACTCTGATTGAAATCAGAGATTTTAGTTGAAAGTTCTGTTCCAAGGTTATATTACCTTACCCAATTTAGTTATGTCGACATTTTACCTTTTAGTGTCTGTTTTAAGTTTGATAAACTGTATAGTTTAGATTTCTGTATTAGTTGGTACACTTGTATATTGATTGTCATGTATTTAGAATGCTACTGTTGTAAAGAAGACATTTTCTTATAGAACCAGATCTTTTAATAAAATGAAACTAGTTATGATTCACATTATTGTGTATATTATTTCATCATTAATCTTTCAAAAATCCAAGTATTTGTGGTTTGCCGTAACAGTTTTGCCACCCTTCAGCTCTGCATGGATTGCAAGTAGAGTTTTACTCTTAATATGAAACTAGTGGAACCCCGTCGAAATCGACGGTTAATCTTCAGGTTTTATGTAAATTCAGCTAACTGCGATAGATAGAGTGAAGTCATTAAAATCTTAGTTAAATGAAGGGAGGATAAGCAATAATAAGTATGACGATTGTGTTCCCTAAAAAACGTGATTTTTGAATTCGTTTAACACAATATTTCCTACCTTTTTATCGGCTTTAGGTTGCCCAAAAGGTTTTTTAGGAGTCTTATAATTGTTTGTTCATGAGTTGTTTCATGTCAAAGCCACTTTCACTATATGGGAGAAGGAGTTCATATAATTCTATAAGTCTATCATGTTACGGAAAGAGTCAATATTACTAACAACTAATTCCATCTGCTTTAGGAAAATCATTCAGATTGTATCCGGATTTATAAGTGAATCTTCATCTTTGGTCATAGAAATACAGAATTTTATCAGCATATTAAATTATTTTTGTTTTTGTATTTGATAAAAATATCTGATTCTCCAGAAAGCAGTAACATTCTTACTTCGATCTAAGCAATTTTAATTCCTTCTCTTGCCACATCGACCCATGTATTCAATCATCCTGTTCTTACTTGATAATTCGTTAACTTATGAAGTAGTTTTGCCTTGGCCATATCGATCACATAAAGCTGTGCATGTATTTCGTGGATGGAATGAACCATAATTGTAGGAAATTTGATCACAAACCTTGAACATTTGCGAAACCTATTCTAGCCTTAGTAACAAATTATGCAAATGCGATGAGATGTGATGACTCTGTTTGTGTTTCCGAATGTTTTGTATGTAGTGAGGTTTAGATGCGTTGTTCGACCTAGCTACATGTGTACATCAAAGTAAAAACCCTGTACACATTTTTTTAAATACCTGAATTGACATTAGTTCAACTACTTCACCAAAACCATAGATGAAACATACTCCGTGGTTAGTCTATTCCAAAACTTGAACAAAGCTCTCATACTCAACGTACTCATCTATGACACAATTTTCAACCCGATTATCGAAAACTTTTATACCAATAAATGAATTTCTGGTGTTCTTTCTTGAATTAAAAAATAAATGGTGATTGAAAGTAGGCAAAAAAGGCAATTGCCAACCTTACAATATATATAAGCAAACCCGATAAGGAATAATTATATATTCCTTCGAAATTGATTAAAAATTTCTAAGATCAATAAAGCATAGATTTTTGAACAAAACATTTAAAACGTATAATAAATTCATCATTTTGTTGAAACTATAAAAAATTTGCCATGCAGTGGAGAAACAAATTAAAATCATAAATAATAATGTAAACATTTAATTTTGACAGTTTCAGTAGACCTGAAAAAATAAGAAACAACGATGATATTATTTTATATTCTGCTTATCATGCTCCACGGTACAAGTTTTCAAAAACGTACATTGAAAACCTCTTTTCAGATAATACTCTTACTATTTTACTAGGCGATCTAAACTGTAAGCATGAAGCTTGGGGATGCCTGAAGACAAATCCAAATGGAAGACTACTCTTAGCCGCTGCTACTGCCTACGGAGTATCAATTGTTGCCCCAAATGAACCTACTCATTACTCATTTAACCACAATGTCAGGCCAGACATTTTAGACATTGGATTGTTTAGAAATATGCCTCGCCCAACACACATGACACCACTAATTGACCTTGATTCCGATCATCTACCAGTCATTCTTTCATTTCACAAACCACCTGAAATAGAACTTCCAAACGAAAAACTTATTAAAGGAGTAATCGACTGGAAAAAGTTTAAAGAATGCTTTCATGAAAATTTTCTCCTTCCTCGCCAACTAAAAGATAAAACCCAAATTGATGAGGCTATCGATTTGTTTGTCACTTCCATTTGTCTCTCAGTAGAACAAGCAACGGTTCGTCAGTTTAAACCTAACAAATTGTTTTCCTCGATTCCTCGATACATCCTGTCCCTTATTAATTTGAAGAATAGACATAGAAGGCAACGCTACAGAACTCCTTCTTTTCGCAGAAGATATAATCAGCTCATTAGACGAGTCAAATGGAAATTAGACCGATTCAGATACGAATCTTATAACAAATGTGTATCAAATCTGTCCTCTGATGACAACAACTCCTTATGGCTCACAACTAAACGAATATTGAAAGAACGCACCCCAATACCCAGTTTAATAAACAATGGTCAGGTATATGAAAGCAAAACGGACAAAGTTAATGTTTTAGCCGATTACTATCAGTGTTCATTTCGTCCGAATGATGAATTTCAAGACCCTGAATTTTCAGCTCATGTTGCCACAGTTAATTCCTGCCCACTTATCACGGTGGAACAGCCAATTAAATATACTTCTCCATCTGAAACCTCTAACTTCATCAAGTCGCTAAGAATCAAGAAAACTCCTGGACACATCGGAATACCTAACATTATTTTACATAATCTACCACGAAAAGGACTTGCTTTCTTTGCTTCTCTGTTCAATGCCTGTCTCACAAAATCATACTTCCCGCGAATGTGGAAACATTCTCTAATAATTGTCATCCATAAGCCTGGAAAACCTGCATCGCAAGTAAATAGTTATCGTCCGATTAGCCTCCTCCCCACATTGTCTAAATTGTTTGAAAAAATCATTAAACAACGCCTAGACTCCTACCTAGATAGTGCTTCCTTAATACCTCCACATCAGTTTGGTTTTCGCTCCCACCATTCCACGACACATCAACTTTTAAGAGTTTCTGAAGACATCATTAAAGGATTTGAAAGAAAATGTCATACTGCTGCAGTTTTTCTTTGTGTAAGTTCCTTTGACCGTGTTTGGCACGATGGTTTGTTGTTTAAACTAAGAAAGTTCGGAGTCCCCTCCTACCTACAGAGAATTATTGAAAGCTTCCTTGAAGATAGAACGTTTTCAGTTAATATTGATGGCTCCCTATCGACTGCCAGACCAATTCAAGCCGGAGTCCCACAGGGCGCAATTCTTTCACCTCTATTATATATAACATTTACACTTCTGATTTGCCATTGTCAAACCATGTCCAAACAGCCGTGTTTGCTGATGACACCCTACTCTACTCTACACACCATGACATCAATGTTGTGGCCAATAACATTCAAGTTTCCTTAAACGATTTGATGGAATGGTTCACAAAATGGAGAATAGCCATAAATCCAATGAAGAGTGAAGCGAAGATTTTTACCCTCCGAAAACCGTTAGATCCTCCAAATTTAGAAATTCTAGGTGAACAGATTGCATGGAACCCTCCTGACCAAGCAATAAAATATTTAGGTGTATACTTCGACCGAAAGTTAAATTGGAAATTTCATATTAATAAAAAATTAAATTTGGGTTATGGCAGATTATCAAAATTGTTTCCTTTAATCAACAAAAATTCATGTATGTCTACTAAGAAGGAACCCTTCTATACAAAACACTTCTACGTCCACTATTGTTATACGCCTGCCCAGTATGGGAAACTGCTTCATCAAGCTCGATTCGTAAACTGCAAACATTTCAAAATAAAGTTTTAAGGATAATTCTAAAATGTCCCTGGTATGTTTGAACCCGTCAAATACATTTAGAACTGGGAATGGAGTATGTTTTATCTATGATAAAACCTAAAGAAGATTTCATCAAGAAAATTACATCAAAATTATTTACAAAACTTCCATTAACCAGCAGCATTGGATTTTATAACACAGGCCAACCTTCTGAAATTCAGAGACTCCGACTAAAACCCAGATTGCCTCAGAAGGGTTGAAACCTGTCCAAACTAATCATATATATTAAAACGTAAATGGGTTTTTGTTTCGCGATTCTGAATCAACCAGTCAACGGATTTTCATGATCCGCAAAACCAACTGTTAACTAACAGCTGGTTAAATGTAATATTATTCTATAGAACTACTAGCTGACCCGGCGAACTTCGTATCGCCTAAGTTATAGGTTTCCCCTAAGACATACCGATGGAAAGAAAGTACCGTTACGTTTAATTTTCAAGATGATCTCGTTCGCATCGCTCAATCACGTCCTGGTTGAAGTTCGTTCGCTACGCTCACTCACCTTTGGCTCACCATTAGTGCATGTTTTGCTCGAATTCTAGTTACTGCAAACAGGTGTTACTTCAAAACGAATAACTTTAATAAATGCCGATGACTTTAAAAGAGTCCACTCAAAGTTAATGTAACTAATGGAAATACTCACGAGGTACATAACAGTTCGACATAAGCAACGTTTCTTGCAAATTGTTTGTTATTGTTGTTCTACAAATGTTTCCGGACTTAGCCTACTCGTAACCGTTTAAGGTTGGGGACGATGTCGAAGTTGGACAACGTTAAACGTGGACTACGTTGAAAGCAGACACCGCCTCAATCAGACAACGATAAAAGCAGACAACGACGAACATGGACACATTCAAATGTGTCCAAGCTTAACGTTGCACGCAAATGACGAACCTGGACACATTTACAAGTTGTCCAGGGGTGGCGTTGCACGACACGACGAATCTGGACACATTCAAATGTGTCCAAGTTTAACGTTGCATGCAAACGACGAACCTGGACAAGTTTTTAAGTTGTCCAGGGGTGGCGTTGCACGACACGACGAAACTGGACACATTCAAATGTGTCCAAGTTTAACATTGCATGCAAACGACGAACCTGGACAAGTTTTTAAGTTGTCCAGGGGTGGCGTTGCACGACACGACGAAACTGGACACATTCAAAAGTGTCCAAGGGTATCGTTGCACGCAAACGACGAACCTGGACACTCTTAGTTTTTGAACAGACTGTACACCCGGCTCATCAAATTCTCAGTCCCGCTCGGTTGGTAAACTCTGAATGAGCTTCCTAAAACAGAAATGCCGTGAATACGCCTTATTGTTACAAG